AAAAAAAAAAGAAAGAAAGAAAACAAGCTGAGTAAGCCATGAGGCACAAGCCAATGAGCAGCATCCTTCCATGTCTTCCCTTCATTTTCTGCCTCCAAGTTCCTCCCTTGAGTTCCTTCCCTAAATTCCCTTCATGAAAAGAACTACAACTATAAGCCGGAATAAACCCTTTCCTTCCCAAGTGGGTTTCAATTATGATGCTTTATCACTACAATAGAAAGCAAATGAAGAAAACAGGTCTGAAGTCATACTCCTCTGAGTGTCTCCCGCCTCTGATGGCAGCAGGAAATAGTCCTGTGATGGTCCCACACAGCCTTTGGAGGCCCCTCACCGCAGAAGTCATTGTAGCATGTCACCATAGTTGGTAGGGTCAAAACTTGGTGTCTGACAGCCCTGAAGACCTAGGCTTGGCCGTCATCCATAATCAGCCAACTGAAGGGACAAATACAGTGAAAAGAACGAGGTCCTCACTGGGAAGGTAAGCTGTGAGGGAAGATCTGCAGGACACGAAGGATTCCTCCAGCTACATTTCAGCTCATAATGATCTATAACGTCCCCTAACGATGTCCCCCCAACTGAGAACAAGTAACAAATAATAAAGCTTATAGATTTATTCAAACTACCACAGGACACATCTGAAAACGTCACAGTTAACAGAAAACTTGATTGTGAAGATACTTTCTTTTAAGATTCTTTTTTTTTTTTTAAAGATATTATACATATAGTGTTCTGCCTGCATGTATGCCTGCAGGCCAGAAGAGGGTACTAGATTTTCATTACAGGTGTTTGTGAGCCACCATGTGGTTGCTGGGAATTGAACTCAGGATCTCTGGAAGAGCAGTCAGTGTTCTTAACCTCTGAGCCATCTCTCCAGCCCCAGGATTCTTTTTTTTTTTTTTTTTTTAATTTTTTACACGTATGTGTGTGTCTGCATGAGTATATACACAGTGAGGTCTGGTATACTGGGTTCCCAGATGAGGGCACCTGATCCCTTGGAGCTGAAGCAACAGGAGTTTGTGAGCCACCTGTTGTGAGTGCTCTGAACTGAACTCTGGTCCACTGCTATGTATAGCGACAAGCTATAGTAACCACTAATTCAACTCTCCAACCCCAGGGAGACAATTTTTGCCTACATCCCTTTGCTGGACCCCAGGGCCTGGAACAAGGCCAGGTAGAAGGCAGATTCCCCAATATTTACTGAGAAGTAAATCTCAGGAATAGACTGCCTAAAGGTGGAGTCTGGAGCAGGAAAGACAGCTTGCTTGTTCAATGTAGATCTTCTCTCTCATGTATATATAGGGAACATTCTTTTTAAGACAAGAGACCTCGCCCAGCAAGTGCTAGAGCCCCTTCCACGTCTGGGACACAGCACCAAACCTCTGGGCAAAAGAGGAAATCTGAGGCACAGATGACCTTACAGTTTGGGGAGTCCGAAGGCAGGGGGCCTCTCAGGTGCAGGAAGTCCTCCTCATCCAGCAAACCCGCTGCTTCCCATCTCCAAGCCCTGCCCAAGCCACAGCTACACAGCCTAGGAGCTGCTCTATGCCACAGCCCCGCAATGAGGGACCACTATCAGATCAGAACCAAGGAATGATGGGTGTGTGGCGATGGCTGTGGTAAGGTGCATCCACATCTGCATAGGACCCAAGAGGAGGACAAGAGGCAGGATGGCTGGGTCCTGACCCAGAGCTGTGGAATGGTGATCCTTATATTCACACGGTAGAATCTGTGTCTTTTGGAAGGTCTACCCTGCATGCAAGGAGGTCTGTGCTATACCTGGGGATGGAGATTTATGGAGGGATCATACTGGTTTCACGGGGAGACACTGGGCAGATGTCTGGGCTGGGAGTCACTAGGGATCTGTCAGTGGCACATTATTGTTCTCAGCTCCCGTGCTTCTACCCTAGACCCTCTGAAGACACATTCTCCATATCACGGACAAACCACCCAAATCCCATCCCAAGGTCCTTTTTCTCCTTCAGATCCTTGTGACCTAAAATAACCAGGCTTGGACCAGCCAAGAACGCAACATGACACTGTGGCACAAAGAATGAGACCAGGAACAGACATTTCAGTGAGGGACATAGGCCTCAATTCCCCATTCCTTCTTCGAATATGTCTATGATACCAGCATCTGGGATTGGAACAGAAACAGGAGGACAGGGATCAACCTAAAGCGATTCACCTCCAGACAATGCTCACAGGGTACCAGGTTCAAGAGTTGGGTCTACTTGAGGAAGCAGGGCTCTAGAAACGCTGCTCCCAGGAGTTAATCTTTCTTCTACTCAACCCACCAAGGTCTCTGTCATCCCCATCTGAGACTAACACTCCACACAACACACAGGATGAGGACACCTGTGCCCTGCACCCTCCTTCCGGTCCTCACTGCTCCTCACAGCTTCAAGGACCATGACCCTGAAGTCAGCAGTGCAGGGTCAGAAGCCTCTGCAGGAGGGTGAGTCATCAGAGAAGCCTGTGCCTCGCTTTGCCCCATCACATCCTCCCTGCTCCACCAACTGGGTGGTTTCTGCACAGTTCCCTTCTCCATACTGTCTTGCCCCACCCCACCCCACCCCACTTGTAGGGCCCTGGTCTCCTCCCATATTGAGTAAAGCCTTTGCCTGCTTGCTGACCTTGACAAGATGTCCTCCCTATGCTAATTCCCTGCTGGGTTCCACCCTCCTGAATGCTTAAGGGAAGTTCCTTGTCTGTGTATCCTGCATAATGGGCGTTAACAGCTTAGATGCAAGATTGTAAACATCAGTAGGGAACTTCTGCCCTCTGGGGTTCTCCCATTGTGCTGTAAGCCTGTATTTAAGGTTTCCTCCCTCTTTCAATGCATTCAGCATTCTGCTGAGGCGAGTGACCCGCTGTCTTTGTCTCTGTTTTTCGATCCACCGCCCCTCGCTCGGACATGGTGAATGGGTGGTGGTAGCGCGGGCTTTATCGCTACAACCACTCCTCTTCAGGTCCAAGCTTCAACAAGGTGTTCCGGGAGGAGGAGGAGGTCTCACCACACAACATCCTAGGCTCAAACCTCGCTGTAGTATTTCTACACCCTCTTGCCAGGCGTGGCCTTCTGTTGCTGCTGTGTGGATGACACTCAGATTGTGGGATTCCATAGAAACAGGACCAAGCCACTGGAGCCGGAAGGGCAGAGTATTGGGGAAAACAGACACAGAGCCCCAGAAGCCACACAGGGTTTCAAAGACAAACTGACGAAATTGCTCGGTTTCTAGAACCAGAGTTCTGCAGGTGAGTGACCCCGGTTCAAAGGTCAGGACCCCTCCATGTCCTGACAGACAGACCCAAGTCACAGCTTTCCCCTTACCACCAAACTGACCTGTGAGACTCTGGAACCTGGAGAGACCCGGTGACCAGGCCCAGTTCTAGGTGCAGTTTAGGGTCAAAAGGGTCTCAGGGCAATCTTGTGGAGGTGAGCCTGACGGCAATGGCAGGACCGGGGTATCATACTCTAAATAATGTACATGGCTGCGACGTGGGCACAAAAGGGCGCTTTCCCTGAGGGTACTGTGAGTTTACCTACCCTAGCCACAGATACAGCACCCCCAGGAACCTGAGCTCCTGGACTGTAAATGGCAAGGCAGCTCAGATCCTAAGGCACCGTGAGAGGAGGAGGATTTGGCACACCAGCTGAAGACTTACCTGCAGAAGGTGCATGGAGATGCTCCACACACCGCCGGGCACTGGGTATGAGATGTTTCTGCTCACAGGTAAGAGGGGCCACGAGGAAATTCCTCCATTTTCTCTTACTGGGGCTCACATCTCCTAAGGAGGAAAAATGTTGGGATCACCTTGAAGACTGGTTCCATCCTGCATCGAAGTTGGAGAGGGCTCCAGGGTTTTCTGATTCAGCACAAGAGAAGGACTCTCCAGAGGACTTGCCCTTCCCAGAAGAAAGTTCAAAATCTGTCTACCAACCAGCAGTTTCCTTCAATCTGCAGCTAACCTCCCTAGGGCCTGATCTCTACCCAAACACAATACCTTTGTAGTTCTGGCTCCGCTGTGGTGGAGTCTCTCAGATCCCACCCAGTCAGAACCAGAAGTCTGTTTTTCCTAGAGGGAGACCCAGAGCCTCCTGCTCTGTGCTGGCTAACGAGGATTCAGAAACTTTCCAAGGAATAGATTGTTTAGGTCATGAATGTAGGCTGCTGTACTGTATAGAGGCTGTATCCTCCTCTATCCCAAATACCCCACTCATTCCAGTGATGATCACAGAAGCTGAAACCCCAGGAAGAATGTCAAATGTCCAAATTTCCCATTTCTTCTCCTCAGACTCCCTACAACACATAAGACCCACCAATCAGGTCAGACCTGGAGGGAATGTCACCCTGAAATGCTAGGCCCTGGGCTTCCACCTGCTGAGATCACCCTAACCTGGAAGAGGAATTGGAACAACGATACCGTGGATACGGAGATGGTGGACACCACCAGGCCTGCAGAGTATGGAACCTTCTGGAAGTGGCAAGTGAGGTAGTGTCTTCTGGGGATGAGGAATGTTGTGGGATATCTGTAAACTGTGTGAAGATGTATTGCTATGATTGGTGTAATAAAAAGCTGAATGGCCAAAAGTTAGGCAGGAGGTATAAGGCGGGACTTCCGGGCAGAGACAGAACTCCAGGAAGAAGAAAGGCGGAGTCAACAGCCACAGAAAGGAAACAGGAGGTGTGAGGTGGAAGAGAGGCAATGCCATGTGGCAGGACATAGATTAATATAAACGGGTTAATTAAGTTATAGAAGCTAGTTGAGACGAGCCTAAGCTAAAGGCCAAGCTTTCATAATTAATAATAAGCTTCTATGCCATTATTGCAGACTGGCAGTCCCAACAAAAAAGCACTGCTGCAAATGTCACCCAGCGTCCAGCAGGTAAATCTGCACAGGGCCTGAAAAGGCTGGGAAAAGCTGCAAGGAGGCTAGGTGCTCACGGCATACAGAGGCACAGCTCTTTTAAGAGGCCCTGCTACCAAGCACTTGAATGGGGTTTATGAGCAGCAGGCTGTGCACTACTGGGTAGCGGGAGATTGAGTAGAAATGCCTCCTGCAGCGTGGACCCAGAAACCTCCCAAGCTAGGGCAGATAGACCGGCTCCAGGCCATGGCCCACAGGCGTGGGGCTCCACTCTCACCAAAGTGGGTGGAGCCGGCTGCCAGGCCATGTGCTAGGTGGAGCCATGTGGCCATGGGGGGGAGGGCTTAGCTGCCAGCTAGCAGTTTAAGGTTTGGTTCATGCATCAAAGACCACAGCAAGTGTGCAGCTGCAGGTGCTTAGAAAGTCAGGTCCCGACTGTTTCGGGGTGGGGGGGGACCCAAAACAGACTGACCACACAGCTTCTGGCAGGCAACACCTGGACCCAAGAAAAGCCATAAGCTGACCCCACCCAGTGGGGTCTGCATCTAAGGGGATATACCTGACATTCCAAACATTCCATATACCCCTAGTCAAATGTCAGCCAATCAAGGTCCTGAACCCTGGAAATCCCCTCACCCAACCTCTGCTATGATAAAAACCCCACCCTGCCTAGACTCTGGGTTCTCTGCTCTCACTGCTGCGTTGGACAGTCCAAGCTCTGAGCTTGAAAATAAAGTCTCTTTGCTTTTACATAGTAGATTTGGTCTTTTGGGGGTCCCCACAATCTGGGCATAACAACCAGAAAAAAACTCTAAACTGTATGCTTAAAAATGTGCTTAGGTGGGTATAAACAGGTGTAAAAATAAACAAATACATAAATAGTTTAAAAATAAAGTCTGGGGCTGGAGAGATGGCTTAGTGGTTAAGAGCACTGACTGCTCTTCCAGAGGACCCAGGTTCAATTCCCAGCACCCACATGGCAGCTCACAACTGTCTGTAACTCCAGTTCCTGAGACCCAACACCCATGGCAAAACACCAGTGTACGTGAAATAAAAATAAATAAATTTAAAAAAATAAAATAAAAAAATAAAGTCTGCTTCCTACCTGGACCCTCACAAAATGTTTTCTTCCCAAAGGTGAAGTATGAGAAACCTCTGTTCAGGCTGACGGTAAGTACTGTGGGGTCTGATCCTTGAGATGTGGGTAGAACAGCAGGCAGGAGTCCATGGGGGAGCGAAGGCTACCATTACACACACACACACACACACACACACACACACACACACACACACACACACACGCACGCGTGGACGCTTAGTCCCATCTCCTGTCAGGCCTGATCCAGTCATGTTTTGCTTTTTCCCAGGCAAGACCAATGCTAGGCTCCTGTCAAAACTTTATAAAGATGTGACCCTGCAGGGCCTGTGGGACAGTAATCCTGATTTTTCAGGACTGAGACAGTTGGAGCATGCGATGGGCTCCTCAGAGTGTCACCACTCACAGACACGGGTGTGAATTTATTCCTTGTTTTTTGTTTTTGTTTTTATTTTATTTTACATGATGGGACAGAGCCTTGTGTTGGACTGAACCATAGAGGATTTCTTCTGGTTCTCCCTTCCCCGGTGTTCCTTCAAGAGCTCCTGGTTTTTCATTCTGTAATTGGCATCAGACTCAGAGTATCTGTCTCCCATCAGCACAATGTTCTCAAGGAGGAACCCAGTCCAGCCCAGAGCACTGAGCTCTCCCTACAGTGAGTCTCGATGTTTCTCAGCCATCCCTCTCTTTCAGCAGAGGCCAGCTTAGAAATCTCCATCACTTACTGAACTTTAGATTTCATTGAACTACAACTTCATACTTCCTTCTTGAAAAGAAGGATGTGTATATGGTTTTTGCAATTTATTGCCAGGGTGGATGATTAATTCATGTACTAAAAATGAGTAAAATCTATAGAGAAAATGATGTTCAATAACCTTATAGAATCTGTGTTTGCTGCACTAAATGCATTGTCTTTGGAGACAATACAGCGGCAGTGTGAAACCGAGTGCATCATAAATAGAGGAGGAATAGATGAGAGGAGAGCTGTGCGGGATATAAAGTCACCTGCTTGCTATTTGCAGCCTTGATGCCCTTGGTATTCCTTTCTGGGTTCCTAGATATCTGCTGCATCCCTGGGCAGTCCTTTGCAATTTCACATCGCTGAAGATGTGATGTGGCAGTCCACATCACTAGGCACACTAGTCCACACTAGGCAGTCCCTCATGGGTCGTGTCTCAGATGCTGCTCACACTCAAGCCATGCCCTTGGCAGTCTGAATACTGACCTGGCCTCTGTGAGGACCTTCCTGACGTTAGTGAGCACACACATGGCACGTGTCTGTGCAGACTCTGGTTCTGACCAGATTTCTACCACGCTGAATTCTGCATGGTATGATTCAAGGTGTCTTCCTTACTGTGTATGGGAACCCTGGCGGGCTTTGGTATGTAGTTCCATGCACGGGCTCTGACTGTCCTGAGAGTGTAGTTACTGGAGGGTCTGAGGCTAAACAGCCACCAGCTCAGCAGAAGTCTTTGGAAAATGGCACTCGGCTGCTGTTCTGGTTGGGGACTGGGGGCAGATGGTTTTCCAGGGTCTCTCCTGCTGTGGATGCTCGCAGCTTTCACCTCCCTTGTGCCCTCTCTCCCACCTTAAAATGTCTGTTCCTGAGAGAGCAGTGGAGATCCCAGGGGCCTTCTGTCTCTCCCACAGCTCTGGTCCCTTCCACCAGGAGAGGAACCTAGACCCACCAATCCCTTCATGAACTCAGGACTTCTTCCTTCTGTTTGGTTAGGTTTCCTTTTATACTTTGCTGATAAGCTACAGGATTCTAGCCATCACTCACTACTTCCGATAGTTTTCATCCAAATCACCCCAGCTTATTCCTGGCAGATTATTCATGAGTTCCCGTGTGTCCCAGCCCCATCAGATTTTGTTTCATGCCTCTGCAGAGTTAGACTGTTAGACAGTATGTCCCCGTACTGCATATGAGTCAGGTGTCACTCTCCTGTGTCTGTTCCCTGTCTCTGACAGCAGCAGGGGGTGTTTCTGTCATTGTTCCACATGAAGGCACCTGATGGTATTGTCAACAGAAGTCTTTGGGGTCAAAACCTGGTTTCTGGCAGCCCTGATAAGCTAGTCTTGACCACCCATTTACAATAAGCCTATTGAAGGGGTGAGAACAGAGTAAAGCAAAGGAAAGAGGTTTGGGGACAGGGAAGAGGAACAAAGAGGTCAGTCTCACACACACACACACACACACACACACACACACACACACACACACACACAGCGGCTACCCACCAAGTTGACCTTTAGGATCATGACGTGAGGTTTAGTTTAAGTACATGCAGGAGGACTTTTCTCCTGTTCTGTTCTATAACATTTCCTATATTTCTTTGGAAATAAGAATAATAAGAAATAATAATAATAAGAAATAATAAGCTAGAGATTTCTGGCCATCACTCACCTCTTCTGATACATTGTCCAACTTTCCCTGGTTCGTGCTCTGGAGATTCTACCAGACTGTGCATGTGTCTCCCCCTCCATCATAGATCTTCACATTGAACTCCTAATCCTCCTGCCTCCACCTCCCAAGTGCTGACTTTACTTGGGTGTAGCATGACACTTAGCTCATTTGAGACACTCTAAAGCATGTCTATTTATCCTTGTCTATAAAAGATTGCAGTAACTTATCAGATGAGATCTGTAGACAGGAAGTGTAAAATTACTATGTGAATTTTTGTTGTTTTTTTTCTTTCAAGAAAAGAATCTAGCTCAGAAAGGCCTTGAACTCCTCTGCTTCCCAAGTGCTGGGAAAACCACATGTCCCATCCTGCCCTGCTCCATTAGAAGGATTCTATTAATACATACAAACAATAAAATGGTTTGGAAGTGTAATAGCCTCATGTTCGTGGAATCCATGCCAATTTAATAAAAACAAAGAGAAATTAGAATTCCATAGACTTACATACTTAAATATGACCACATTCTCAACAGTGACCTAACCATATCCCTCTAGATCAGCAGTTCTCAACCTGTGGATCAAGAGCCCTTTGACAAATTTCTACCTCCAAAAATATTTATATTGCAATTTGTAACAGTAGCAAAATTACAGTTATGAATTAGCAAGGAAAATAGTTTTATGGGGGGCACCATAATGTGATGAACTGTATTAAAGGGTCACAGCATTAGGGAGGTTGAGAACCACTGCTCTAGATGATCCACTGACTAACTTTTGCCAGCAGCAGACAGAAGGCCATAAATAAGAGATCAGACAACAGGTTCTCACTAGGGACTCTCCATAAGCTTGTCCCGAGCCCCCTAATGGAAAACCTCACCTTCAGCCAAGTCGCTGGCAGCAGAGTGCTGGAAACTGACATCTCAAGCCAGCATCTCCAGCCCTGTGACCAGAGCTTCTGACCAGGACTGAACTCAGATGCATCACTGGAAATGATGTGAACAGAGGTTCTTGCTAACTTAACAGAACTGTACACCAGCTAATCCAGACTCTCCTCATTCACATGGAGTGGATCTTGTTCCAGAAAGCTGACAATAAAAACTGCCTAACTAGATAACTATTTCTTAAAATGCACCTGAATCCACTGCCACATCACAGCTGGTGGAGCTCTTCTTCCTGCCTCTCTGTACTCCTTTGCAATATATTTAGAGGTGTATTGTCTTCCTCTAAAAGTATAAGTCAATTCAGCACCCACCAATCTCTTCCCCAGTTGACTCCAACAAAGATAAAAATCTAAGCTCTCAAGATAACATTAATGATTTGAGCACTTAAAGCTCCCAAAGCTCTCTATGAAATATGTGGCTATATTAAAGACTGAGTTTTTGATAATTTGTACTTAAAGGAGTTGGTCAAAGAAATCCTACTTTAAAATAACATTCACTCAAGCTGGAGAGATGGCTTAGTGGTTAAGAGCACCGGCTGCTATTCCAGAGGACCTACGTTCAAATCCCAGCACCCACATGGCAGCTCAAAACTGTGTGTAACTCCAGTTCCAGGGGTTCCCACACCCTCACACAGACATATATTCAGGCAAATACCAATGCACATAAAATAAAAATTAATAAATTAAAAAAAAATAAATAACATTTACTCTAGCCGGGTAGCAGTGGTGCACGCCTTTAATCCCAGCACTTGGGAGGCAGAGCCAGGTAGATCTCTGCAAATTTGAGGCTAGCCTGGTCTACAGAGAAACCCTGTCTGAAAAAAACAAAAATAAAAAATTAATTAATAATAACATTCACTCACATTGTGTCCATTCAATACACAAGACTCTCCTACAGATGTGGGTGCAGCAGATGTTGAAGGACACAGTGATGTATCAAGTCCACAGTGTTAAAATCTTAAGAAAGCACTGCCTGTGCCAATATGTGACATATCAGAGAGAAAAAAAAAATTGTGATTAACCCACTTTGTTGGCACATTGCTTCAATCCCAGCAATCTGGAGCCAGAAGCAGGTAGATGTCTGAGTTCTGGGCCATCCTGGTCTACATAGCCACCTCCAGGCCAGCCAGGGCTACATACGAAGACCCTGTCTCAAAAGAAAACTAAAATCATTTGGAGATGTTAAGGAAAATGTTTCCGCTGGGCCTGGAGTGATGTCTCAGCTGTGAAGAGCCCTTGCTGCTCCTGCCGAGGACCTGAGTTCATTTCCTAGCACTGGGGCCTGGCAGTTCACAGGTTCCTGAAACTCCAGCTCCAGGGTTTCCCACTTCCTCTTCTAGATCTTAGGAGTTCACACTCCTTGCATACACACAGAGACACACAAAAAATACATACAAATAAATCCAAATCTTAAAATTGTTTCTCCTAAACTATGTCTGTGAAACTGTATATCTCTGCCATTCAAATAAAACAAAACTGTTAAAAAAGGAGACACAAAATCCACATGGTCTTTGTGGGAAAGATGAAGACTCGCAGTAATGTTAAATATCCAAAAAGATCTCCTCACAGCATCATTTCATTTGGGAAAATAGTTCTTTCTCTTTTTATCCTGCTTACGTGAAATTAGCTATTAATATCTACACTGAATCAGATGTAGATATATTAGTTCCTAACCTGGTAAATATGGATTGATATAACCCACAGGAGCACAATCATCATTGAAGTCTACATAATGTCTAAGTGTGTGTGTAGAGATTTTGACACCAATGTTTGAGAATTACTGGCTTTCTGGGCTCTGGGCTAGGACTCAGGGATGTTGTGACCAGGACAGGGATCAGGGTAAGGCAACTTGTGTTCAGACCCTGATCCCGGGATACCAGGCCACAGAACTGGGTCCAAAGCACGAAAGCAATGCCCTAGATATTTATTTTCCAAGAGTTCATCTCTACATGACCCATCCCACCAGAGCTACGTCACCACCTTTGGGAATTCTTAGAGAAGCCAGTCAGCCTCCTCCACATCAGCGGTACAACGTGGGGAGATACCAGTCCTGTCTGAGACACCACTCGTCTCCAAGGATGAGGACACCTAGACCCGGCGCCCACTTGCTCCTGCTGGTGGCCTTGACCCTGACCCAGAACTGTGTAGGTGGGTGTGGGGCCTGGAGGGAAATGGCCTTTTTGGGGGAGCAGAGTGCAGCACTGAGAATCCCCATCTCTGCATCTCCTCCATCGCCTAACCAGGCTGTCCCTGCTCCCCCACAGCTGGACCACCCTGGCCCCCTCTCCCTTCACCACCCCAGCTCTGCTCCCTCCCCAGCCCACCAACCTGCCCTGGGTCCAGACAGAAAAGGTCAGGGTCTCAATGGGAGTTGTCCCCAGGCTCACACTGGCTGCAGCTTTTGGACACCTTGGTCTATGGGCCAGACATCTGGGAGGCCCGATTCATCCATGTCTGCTATGTGGACACCACGCAGTTTAAGGGATTCGACAGCAACGCAGTGACAGCGAGTATGCAACCCCGGGCTCCGTGGATGGAGCAGGAGCCGCCTGAGTATTGGGAGAGGGAGACAGAGGAAACCCTGCACAAGTCACAGAATGACCGGAAGTTTCTTCAGGTCCTGATGAACTACTACCAACACAGCAAAGACGGTGAGTGATCCCAGATCTAAGGTTAGACCCCTCCATGACCTCATGGTCCTGCCCAATTCTCTCCAGGTTCCCAGGTCTGAGATTAAGCCGCGCGCGCATGTGCGCGCGCGCGGCCTATGACCTGGATAGGGGGTTAGTTTGGGACAAAATCCCAGGAGGGAAGAAGCAGCAGTGACTGGTAGCTGAATGGGGGTGGGGCAGAATATCACACCCTACAGAAGGTGCTTGGCTGCAATGTGGATAATAATGGGAGCTTCCTCGGCGGTCACTATCGGTTCACCTACTATGGCCACGATTACGTCACCTTGAATGAGGACCTGAGCTCTTGGAGTGCAGAAGGCAAGGCAGCTCAATTCATAAGGCGAAGATGGGAGGAGGCAGGTATGGCCACGACGTGGAGGACTTACCTGCAGGGGGAGTGTGTGGAAACGCTTCGCAGATACCTGGACCTTGGGAAGGAGACATTGCTGCGCTCTGGTAAGAGAGGCAGCCGCTTGCCAACTCCTTCTTCTGAGATTAGAACTCCTGTCTCCCGAGGCCTCCTCCTTAGCAGGGAGCAGCTGGAATACTTTACACTGTCTTGCATCAAAGAGGGAAAGAATACTCCTGAGTTTCCTGACTCAACATGGGAGAAACTCTCCAGAGGATTCACCCTTCTCCCAGGATAGTCCAGTGTGTCAATTAAGCAACAGTTCCCTTCCATATCTGCATTGTGAATCATGGCCTCTCTCAGACCTGTTCACTATCCATGAATAATGGCATTGGATGTCTGACTCCAGGGTTGCTGAGTCTCTCAGACCCTGCTCAGTCAGAACCAGAAGTCTATTTACCTAGAGGGAGATTCAAAATCTCCTGCTCTGTGCTGGCTCATGATCATTCTGAAATTTCCCAAGGAATACATCATCCAGATCCTGAGTTTAGGCTGCTGGGTGGAGTCTGCTCCCCTCCCTTCCCATCCTTTCCAGGGATGGTCAGTCACATGAGCACTGCTCAATGGCCAGGAGGAATGCAAAATGCCTGAATTTTGTTCCCCTCAGACCCTCCCCAAACATATGTGACCCATCAAGTAAGACCTGGAGGGAATGTCACCCTGAGGTGCTGGGCCCTGGGCTTCTACCCGGCTGAGATTACCCTGACCTGGCAGAGGGATGGAAACAACCACACCCATATGGAGCTGGGAGAGACCAGGCCTGCAGGGGATGGAACCTTCCAGAAGTGGTCAGCTGTGGTGGTTCTCTCTGGGGAGGAGCAGAGATACACATGTCATGTGCACCATGAGGGACTGCCTGAGCCCATCACTCTGAGATGGGGTAAGGAGTGGGTGTGAGTGAGTACATTGTCAGGAAAAGTATGAGCCCTTTAGAACCAGAGCAGGATCAGGGTTGAGAGCGAGGGTCAGGGTCCTCACCCTTCCTTCCTCTCCCTCATCAGAGCCTTCTCAGACAATCCTCTTCCTCATGGCAATTCTTATTGGCTTGGTGTTTGGAGCTTTGGTTATGGGAGCCACGGTGATTTTTCTGGTATGGAAGAAATAAAGGTAAGGAAGGGGCAGGGTTTGAGTTCTTATCTCCCTAGGGATTTCAAGCCCAAGCTATAAATGTACCCTGCCCCATAAGAGAGGTTGTATCCACACACCTGGGGATGTGGTGGGGCCTCTGTGCTGACTAACTCTATTGTAAAGCATAAAGGATATAAAGGATAGCCTCATCATCCTCTTGATGGAGACCTGATTCTGATTCCCCACAGACAGATGTCACAGAAAAAGTCCCTACTGAGAACAAACCCACAGAAGGCCAGTTAGTCTTCTTTCTGTACAGTCTTCTATTGTGTTTCCTCTTCCTTCCATGGAGCTGCAGTCACAGTTCTAGAAACTTCCCTGGGATTAGACTAGGAATTTCTTCCTGTTCTCGTGACTTTACTGCTTCCCGGTCTCTCAGTGGCTGGTTCTTCCCACAGGTGGGAAAGAGGCGTCTATAATTTGGCTGCCAATAATTAAGTGGAAGGTGGTTCCTGAGACCCTTGTAAGGGTCGACAGGGTGGGGGTGGTCACACATTTCTCTCTTGGCCCCGTTGCTGTGGACTCTCGACACGTCTTATTCTATACTGCCCTAGCCAGGGACAGTGCTCAGGGGTCTGATGCATCTCTCCCAGGAGGATAGGAGTATTCAGAGAACACATTGCTGAGCAGTGGTCACTCCCTACACTGATCTCTCTTTTTTTTTTTCTTCAGTATGGCTGCCTGTTCAGTATCACAATCTTCACTCAGAATTTGTTCTCATTTTCTTCTGTAGTATGAGACACCTACCTTGTGTGACTTCAAAAGCTCCTGACTTTTCTTTCTGCAACTGGCATCTAACTGTGTCCAGGTGTCTGTCTCCTGTCAGCATGGCATAAGGAAGTGAGTTCAGCCCAGACCTGAGCATGACTCCTCTCCACACTGACATGTGTGCCTCCCCAGTCATCTCTCCTGATCCAGGACAGGCAGGCCTTGGGTAACTTCCATTAGAGACTGAACTTTAGTTTCCAATGAGCTATATATTTATTCTTCGTTCTTGAAAATAATAAGGACGTGGATATTTTGGTAATTTTGTTTGGTAAACTCTTTCCGTGGTTTGCTTAGTGGGTAAACACAACCAGAGCAAAACGACTGAGACAGCAGCTCTGCCTTGAGAAGGTGAAACCCATCTTTCGATCTTCTCTGTCCTTTTCTGTGTGCCTCCCTTTCTATTCATGTTCAAATCTGGTAATGCCCCCTCCTAAATAAACTTGAACTTTGCTTCATACTGGTGGTTCTTAAATTCTTTTTCCCCCCAAGTTAAGAATCTTATCTTCGCCTGAGTAGAGGTCTCTGAACAAAACTCCTTGGCTGCTACACATGCAGCATGAAGCTGTCTCTACTCTGCATCCAACTGCTACTGCCATCGTTCCTGCGGGTGACCAAAGGACTCCCTGAAGCAGTGCTGGCCACTGGGCTGCTCCACTCTGCTCTTTAGCTTTGCATGCTACCCATGTTCCTTCACTTTCACTAGCCAAAGACCAACATAGTTTTTATCTTCATGGATGCTTTACCTGCATGTATGCCTGTCTGTGCACCACTTGCATGCCCAGTGTCCATGGATGCCAGAAGGGGGCCACAGGTCCCCTGGAACTGGGGTTACAGACAGCTGTGAAATCTTACGGAGCCATTAAGAACCAAACACAGGTCCTCCAGAATAAAACCCAGTGCTCTTAACTGCTGAGGCTTCTGTCCAGTCTCAAGACCTACATAGTGTTTAATGACCACACCTGTGCAAAGATCCCCTTAAAGCTGTCCATACCCCATTCTTGGGTCAGATGGAACAACACATTGATTTCCAGGAAGACATCCACTTGTGCCCTAAGTCACACCTTTTGCCTCAAGAGACCTTCCGAGACTAAATTGAGGTGAACTGACTCTGAAGTGACATGCGGAGAAAACCTTTTTAAGCACAACATTCTGGATTGAAAATATGGTAAGAATTGCTGATTCTTGAGCTGGAGGGATGTCTCAATGATTAAGAACATTGATGGCTCTTCTAGAGGACTGGGTTCAATTCCCAGCACCCACATGGTAGCTAACAACCATCTGTAACCCCAGTCCTAGGGGGTCCAATAACCTCTTCAGGTCCCCTCGGGCACTGAACACATGTGGTGCAAAGACATGCATGCAGACAAAACACCCATATACATAAAATGAAAAATTGTTCAAAATAATTGCTGATTCTATGCATGACATGCCCCAGTGCCTTAATTCTCTTTCTTAATTTTTAAGAGATTTATTTATTTAATGGTTTTGAGTGTTTTGCTTGCATGTATGTCTGCATATTATGTGAATGTTTGGTGCCCCCAAAATGTCAGAAAAAGCATCAGATCTCTATGTGGTTGATGGGAATCAAACTCAGGTCTTCTGCAGGAGTAACAAGTGCTTTTTAACAACTGAGCCATGTTATATTACCTTAGTTTTTCTATTACCAATAAAGACTCGGGAGTCAGATATTGGGGTGAAAACCTGATAAATCAAAGAAGTGGTGGAGGAGCAACCTGCTGACCTTCTCTCCACACTTTCCAGACCAAAAAGGGGCTGACAAGAAGCCCATGAATCTCCACGTCCCTCCCTACTCCTTCCTGTGCCTTTTTAGCTGTATCCTAGCTCCTCCACAGTCTTTATGACTAATTCTTAACTAGTAGCTGACTCTGCCCCGATTCAAGGTTAACTTTATTAGTACAGTCTCTGGGTGTCTCATGCTGTGATCAAATATCCCACAACATTTCTCCCCTTTTGTCTAAATAAAAAGGGAAGGTTTTGACTCTAACATAGTAAAACTATATACAATAAGAACAATTATCAGGTAAGAATTACATTCCCAGTGTCTAGTCTATTTGTATTTGGCAAATCTAGAGAAAATACTCCATTATCCTATCTTTGTGGTGCACATTTTATATGTTGTAAATAGTTCTACAGCACACAAGCCCATAGCCAAGCAGGAATGATGATGGCAATTTTCCCCCAGCAGCCTAATGCTCTGGTTCAAATCCAGGGTCTCGAGCATATCAGAAAAACACTCTGAACACTCTGCTACTGGAGCAGGTCTCCAGATATATTATATATATACAATTGTGAGATGTAATATTGGGAGATGAATGTAACTTCTCTTCCATGGAACAAAGCCTAAGAGTAGGTATGGAAAATAGCTCTTAGTTTAATGTAAATCTCAAATGCTGCTTTCTCTCTAAACCCACTCTAGATTGAAATCTCACCTGTGTCTTACTTCAAACTACAGAGTGAAAATTATAGTAACTGTAAACATTACAGGAGGTTTATATGCACATATGTGTACATTATTGGCAATCACTTTATTTAAGGTAATATACAGATTTGCACATGAAGCTGGCCACACATCCAGAAACAGAATCAACACTCCTTCTTCACTTCAAGTCCAAGGTAGAATTCATGAACCCTGTCTAAATAACTATTAATACATTTTTATTTTACTGTGGTATCAAAGATGAGTATCCACAATTATCTGATAACAGCATTAAAATATTCCGCCTACATATTTGGGTAAGGCAAGCTGTTTCATATTCTTCAACAAGAATGACAGGTTAAGTGTATATGAAAATCAGCCAGTCTTCTGTTGAAACAGATGAAGAGAAAGACTTGGAAACGTGTGAAGTGCAAAAAGACCCACACTTCAGACTGTTCATTTGGAAAATGAGTATTTCTTGTAAGGTTTTATTTTGTCAACACAATGGATCTGTTAGTATTCTAAGTCAATGGAATATGTTTTAAAAGACTTTAGTTTCTAATATTATTTACACATATAACTCACAAAAACGTGTTTTCCTTGGGGAAATTCGTTAAATCCTCAGAGCCCATGGAGATCCTGAGACCAGGAAGTCTGAGAACAGCTGACCAAGACAACTCTTGACCTGAAGTCGGAGAGAACATGAGGAAAGCTCTTCGGGCTGGATGGAAGAGGGGGAGGAAGGACAAAAGGCCAGGTCCCTCCCTGGTCAGGATGTCAGGTGGCTAGAAGCCCAGCCCTGGAGATGCCCCCTCCTACGAGTTTCACTTCCTGGTCTCCCAAACTGAGTCAGATTCTTCTGCCTAGACACTTATGACGCGAGGGTATTTCCCACTCCCATTGGGTGTCCGGTTTCTGCAGACGCCAGTAGGAGGTTCTGGGTTCCAAAAAACGCGCAGAGCTCAAATGCTCCCCAGATCTCTATCTCTGGGTGATGGCGCCGTGCGCGCTACTCCTGCTGCTGGCGGCCGCCCTGGCCCCGACCCGGACCCGCGCGGGTGAGTGCGGGGTCGGGAGGGAAACGACTCTGCGGGGAGGGCAGGGGCAGCCCCGGGGAAGCCGCGTCCCCGCGTCCCGAGCCCCGCGCCCTGCTCCCCTCCCGGCCGGCACAAAAGCTCCGGATCCTGGCAGGAAGCTGGAGCCGCCGTCAGCTTCTTGCTTCCCCCAGGCTCACACTCGCACTCGCTGCGTTATTTCGGCACTGCCATGACCCAGCCGGGACACAGGGAACCGCGGTTCATCGCCTTCGGGTTCGTGGACGACACGCGCTTTGTGTGGTTTGACAGCGATGCGACGGCCCCTAGAGAGGAGCCGCGGGCGCGGTGGATGGAGGAGAAGCGGCCAGAGTACTGGGAGCGGCAGACTCGGATCGCCAAGGCGAACGCGCAGATTTTCCGTAAGAATCTGAGGACTCTGCTGCGGTACTACAACCAGAGCGAAGCAGGTGAGTGACCCCTGTATGGGCCACTTGGCCCTGTGTGGCTTGGATAGCCCCCAAATAGTGGGCCCGTCTCATAAACCCAGGGCTATTGCCAGGTGCATCTCCTCGATCCCAGAGCTAGAGAAATTCACCCGTCTCCACGGAAGACTCTCAACCGCTTGTGGGCCTCCATGGGGCGGGTCTAAGAGTAGCGGGCGGGGCCAGGCCTCTGGGGCTTATTACTTTTGCCTTCCAGGGTACCACACCATCCAGTCCATGCGTGGCTGCTATATGGGCAGTGATGGGCGCTTCCTCAGCGGGTACTACAAGACAGCGTATGATGGAGCCGACCACATCTCTCTGAACGAGGACCTCCATTCTTGGACTGCGGCAAACAAGGTAGCTCTGATTACCCAGCGCGAATATGAGGCAACGAATGAGGCAGAGCACCACAGGGCCTACCTGAAAGTTACATGCATGGAGTGGCTCCGCAGCCATCTGGAGAAGGGGAAAGAGTTGCTGCAACGTGCAGGTATTGAGTGGCAGCAAACACCCGAGTCCCTGTGTAGACCTCCCTGCTTCGGGTCTCCTGCGAGGACACCTCCCTCCCTAGTCTGGTCTAGTCTGGGTGAATCTTCTTGGGTTCTCTCTGGACAATTCAAGAAGCCCTGTCTTGCTCTCCGGGATGGGAGAATTCAGTTGCTGCAGTAACTGACCAATGAGCAGTTTGCGCCAACCCTCCAGCAGCCTTGGACATTATTTGGAGATTCACTTTGTTTTCTGCCCCATTCCAGTGTCTTTGGAAATTTGGTCACGTTTTTCTAAGTCGCCTAGCCTCCCCTCCAGGTCAGAACCCAATGTCTCTTTCAGAGACTTGGGGCCTCTTACCCTGGGCTGGTTCGAACTAATTCTAGGATTTTCCAAGGCAGAGGGTATCCTAGAAGCCTGAGTTTTATGTCTCCTTTCCCACCTCGTGTCCTGTCCATTCTCAGGATGGTCACATGAGCCCACTATTTCAGTGAAGGTAATAGTCTCTGAACCTCTGAATTCTCAGATCCCCCCAAGACACATGTGACCCATCATCCCAGACCTGAAGGTGACATCACTCTGAGGTGCTGGGCCCTGGGCTTCTACCCTGCTGACATCACCCTGACCTGGCAGAGGGATGGCAAGGAACAGACCCAGGACATGGAACTTGTGGAGACCAGGCCTTCTGGGGACGGAACCTTCCAGAAGTGGGCAGCTGTGGTGGTGCCTTCTGGGGAGGAGCAGAGATACACATGCCATGTGCACCATGAGGGGCTGCCTGAGCCCCTGACCCTGAGATGGGGTAAGGAGGGGCAGGCTGTCAAGGAAACGGGAACCCTCTGGAGACCCTGAGTAGAGCCAAGGCCTCGCTTTCCTTTCACTTCCAGCTCCACCTCTTCAGCACACAAACCCCATTGTGGTCATCTCTGCTGGCCTGGTTCTCCTTGGAGCTGTGGTCATTGCTGTGATGTGGAGAAAGTTACCAAGGAGGAACGGTGAGAAGACTGGGGGCTATCAGTGTGTTCATGTGTGCCATGGTCTGCGTGTCAGACGACAACTCTACAGGGTTGGAGATCAAATGCAGGTCAACAGGCTTGCATAGGAAGCACCTTTACCCACTGAGCCATCTGTGGTCTGTTCTTGAGGGAATTAAAAGCCCGTTAGTTTTGCAGTCTTACTAAAGGGAACACCACTTTCCCAGTCCTGTGTGCTAACAGTGTTTTGTAAATCATGTAAAAATAAGAAAGTATCTATTACTAAGATGACTATGGCCCTAAAGACCTGGCTCCTGGTACCTACAGGTCAGAGATCCCTCTGGACACTGACCTACAAGGGCAGTTGGTCCTCTTGCACAAATCCCTTCCTCTTAGTTTATCCAGCCCTGTGGTCCTGTGGTCTGCATGAGGTTCAAGATACCTCCCCATGTCCCAGATTTGCTGGTTCCTTTAGGCTGTCATGGCCCCGCTGCCTCCATGACCCCTCACAAAACAAGTTTTGTTTTCTACAAGCAGCAATGGCAGCTGTATTCAGGCCACCTGTAAGTTTGGAAGGGCTAGCCCTGAGGCCCTTACAGTAGACAGGAGCCCTTAATTCCAACCCCCCCAATCCCGTTGGCATTTAAGGCTTCTAAATTCTAAGACATAGAAGAACCTGATCTAAGAGACAAGAGTGACAGAGGCAGGACCATGTTGTAGGTTTCTGGGTTTGGAATGCAGGTGGATGAATATGCAGTGGGCTATTCATCACCACTACTCAGTGACCTGCATTTTCATGAATTTTCCTCTACAGCATAACACTGTGGAATTGAGCCATACAAAGGTGAACACCCACACAACACACTATGTCATGAAGAACTCCTGACTTCTTTCTGCACTTGGCATCTGACTATGTCCATGTATGAGCTCCTGTCAGCAAAATGTGAGTCTGTTCAGGCAAAATGGGATTAGCATTCTCCATCCCTGCCTATTGAGAAGAGCATCTAGATATGACTCTTTGAATTCTTACCCCAGGGTTGGTTGATGATTTAGTTTACAGCAAGTTGCCTCAAACTTGGGAGAGGAAATAAAACTTGAGAACATTTCAGAATCTACCTCTGCTGCATGGGTCTGTTTCAGGTTGGGAGAGAAGACCAAGGATCCAAGGGGCTGTGCCCAGATGGTGCTCAGCCCACTGTAGACTTCATCTGGGTCATCTCTGCTTCTCTAGCTTTCTCCCACCTGAACCTTTGATCACAGGGACCCAGCTATGGCCCTGGGCCTTATCCTACGTGTTAGAACTACACACAGGGAAGACTGCATGTGGCAGCACAGCCTAGCATCAGGCCCGATTTCAACTTTCAGTCCCCAAATTACGTCTTTTTTTTGTTTTGGTTTTTCAAGACAGGGCTTCTCGGTATAGTTTTGATGCCTGTCCTGGATCTTGCTCTGTAGACCAGGCTGGCCTTGGACTCACAGAGATCCACCTGGCTCTGCCTCCCTGTGCTGGGATTAAAGGAGTATGCCACCCAACTAACTTACATTTTTTTGGGGGGGGAAGGGGGTTGTTTTCAAGACAGGGTTTCTCTGTGTAGCTTTGCGCCTTTCCTGGAACTCACTTTGTAGACCAGGCTGGCCTCAAACTCACAGAGATCCGCCTGCCTCTGCCTCCCGAGTGCTGGGATTAAAGGCGTGTGCCACCACCGCCCAGCACGTGTTTCTTATTCCTATGTCTAAGTCCTGTCTCATTCCTCCCAGATGTCCCTTTTTCTTGACAGCATCAGGGGTTTGGTCAGGCATTGCCTCACAAGGCCTGGGGAAGCCCTCTAGTCTCCAGACACAAACTTTCATGTAGGCTCACTTCTTAGCTTCCTCCCAGGACTTTCCAGTGAACTCTTCTTTCTACAGTCCTTATGAAGGAACTGGATTCCAGAGTTAGCAAAGAAGGATCTGACAGCTGCTTATCATCTGACATGAGTTCCTGTTGCCATTCTTCTGTCTACTCAGCTACTCCTCTCCCTGCCCCTTAGCCCAAGTAATCATAACGATGACTCATGTGGAGACTCAAGAATTTATTAAACAGAGCCTAACTTAGATTTTTCCTTGGTTGGGAAATACGACCATTAACAACCTTCTAAACCGCGTAGGTACTTAGGTTGCTGCAGGGTGCAGGAAGGCTGGGGTAAGAGAGATAAGGAAGTCTGAGCACCTGTTAACAGCCCGGGGCCATGAGCTCAGTGTGAGGCCCTTGTGCTGCAGCTGCCACAGCACAACACGTGCTCTGAGGCCCCAGGTGAAAGCTACTACAGAGGGTGGTGCAGTGCACTACCAGTCATCTCTCACACTGTCGAGCTTTCACTCCATTGCATGCCACAGATACTATTTTTGTTTTTACAATTCCTGCATCAAGCAAGCCAATTAAAGCCACTTTTCCAATAGCACAGGCTCACTTCAATTTCTCTGTGTCACATTCTGATAATTGTGGCATTTTATTGCTGGACGTAGTGGCACATGCCTTTAATCCTAGCACTCGGGAGGCGGAGGCAGAGGCAGGCAGATCTCTGTGAATTTGAGGCCAGCCTGGACTAAAGAGTGAGTTCCAGGACAGCCAGGACTGTTACATAGAGAAACCCTGTCATGAAAAAACAAAAACAAAACAAATAAAACTTTGGATTCTATTATTACATAAGTCACGACAATCTGTAATCTGTGACCTTTGCTGTTAATACCAAATTTGCATTAGCATACCACAAACTGTGCCCATATAAGACAGCATACTCATTCAATACGTCTCCTGATGCTCCACTGACTGGCCATTTCCCATCTCACTTTCCTTGGGCTTTTCCTATTCCCAGACACATAATACTAAAATTACCAACCAACCTACTATGGTCTCGAAGTGCTTAAGTGAAAGGAATTGTCCTAGCTCTCATTTTAAACCATAAGCTACTTGATGAAGCTATATGAGAAGTTATATGGGACAGGCAAACTAAACTGCTAGGCCTCTCTAGTTAGCCCAGTTGTGAACATGAAGGAAAGTTCCTGAAGAATGAAAAATGGCTACTTCATTGTACACATGAATGGTAAGGAAATGAAATGACCTTCTTGCTGATGTGGAAAAGTTGTATGGTTGGGGTAGGAGATTAAATCAACCACAGCGTTCCCTGAAGCCAAAGCCTAATGCAGAACAAGACCCTAACCACAATTCTGAGAGATGTTTGAAGATAGCAAAGATTGGTTCCCAAGGCTTACAGGCAGAAACTGTCTCCAAGCTCATGTAGAAACAGCAGTCTCTCCCCCAGAAGATCTAAGAGAAAGAATGAAGATGGCTGTGCTGAGCAACAGACTTTTCAAAGTAGACAAAATAGGCATGTAGTAGAAGACAACTCCAGATTCTACTTTCACGGGTGGAGAAAAGCTAATGCCTCACCTCAAAGCTTCGAAAGACAAGTTAATTTGGTTAAGAGGCTAATACAGTTAGTTACTGCAAACTGAAAATGTTGTTCAAATCTTAGGGCCATTAAAAGTTGCATTAAAGCTCTCTACATGGAGAAACATGTATATGACAGCACATCTGTTTAAAACATGGTTTCTGAGTATTTTAAGCCCATTGTTGAGACCCACTACTCCAAAAATATTCTATTCAAAATATTAGTTTCAATATGTTCCTTACCTGTGGTTGATATATTGTGTATCCCAATAAATTTATCTGGGGGTCAGAGAACGGAACAGCCACTATATTAATTAGAGGTTAGGTGGTGGTAACACACACCTTCAATCCTAACATTCCAGAGGCAGAAATCCAGCCAGATCTCTGAGTTCAAGGCTACACTGGAGAACAGAACCAGGCATGGTAGAACACACCTTTAATCCCAGCACTTGAGATCTCATGTCTTGCTTGGGAAAGACACACACCTTTAATCCCAGGAAGTGATGGCAGAAAGCAGAAAGGTACATAAGGCATGAGGACGAGGAATTTGAGGCTTCTAGCTTTTTAAGCTTTTAAGCTTTTAGCAGTAGTTCAGATGAGATCCATTCAGATGAAGACTTGGGAGGCTTCCAGTTTGAGAAAACAGGATCAGCTGAGAAGTTGTCGAGGTGAGGTTGGCTGTGGCTTGTTCTGCTTCCTGCTAACTCAACATCCACCCTGTAGCCTTCATACAGACATAGCTGCCAGTGACTCCTCTGAGGCACCCAGGTAAGTTAAAACTTCCTGCAAAGGGGTCACCACTCTAGATGTCATGAAGAATATTTGTGATTCACCGAAGGTGGCTACAGTGTAGAAGAAGCTGGTTCTAGCTCTCGGAGATGACTCTAAAGAAGTGATTGTCAACCCATGGATCCTGTAAACAACTCTTTTACAGGGTTGCATATCAGATAATACACTACGATTCATAACAGCAGCAAAATTAGTTAATGAAGTAACAACAAAAATAATTTTATGGTTGGGAGGGTCACTACAACACTTTATTAAAGGGTCCTTTAATATAGGAACCATATTAAAGCATTAGGAAGGCTAAGAACCGCTGCACTAGAGGATCAAAAATTCAGTGGAGGAAGCAGCTCCAGATATGGGAGTATCAGCAGAGGCACAGCGGGAAGAGGTGACTGAACTGCTGAAATCACCTGACAGAATATAACAAATGAGTTTCTTCCTGCCAGTGACTGGGGAAAGTGGTTTCTTGGCCAGTGAGGTCGTGCACACCTGTGTGCCCAGCACTCGAGAGACAGATGGGAAGACCCCAAGTTTGAGGACAGCCTGGATCTAGATAGTCAGACCCTGTCATAAAGTATGAGTTTCTTAAAATGAAATCTTGGAACATGCTGCAGACCAGTGGTTCTCAACCTTCGAATGCTGCAACCCTTAAGTTCCTCGTGTTGTGGTGACCCCAACCATACAATTATTTTTGTTGCTACTTTATAACTGTAATTTTGCTGTTATGAATCCTAATGTAAATATCTAATATGCAGGATATCTGATATGCAACCCACAGGTTGAGAACCACTGCTGTAGACATTGTTCAAAGTGAACCAAGTATTTAGATACTACATATACCAGCTGATAAAGCAGCAGCAGGATTGGGAGGACTAATTCCAATTCTGAAAATTGTTTTACTGTGGGTAAAAAGCCACTAAACACCATTATATGCCATGAAAAGGAAGGA